ATAAGAAAATGGGGAACAAGAGATGAGAGAGGGCTTGAGTTTGGGAGAGAGGGAGAGTGAGTGAGGTGGGAGAGAGGGAGAGTGCAGGCGTGTAAACATCTCCCTCCCCCCCCGCCAGGGTCGGGATTCTTACAAACATTTGGCGCATCCTCTTACGAAACATCTACATCTTTTCCTCAATGGTGGCAGCTTAGCCCAGTATTTATTAAACAGTTGACGAGCGTGACAACACTACGAGGCCGTTCACAATCCCCGAAGGCCATTATTCTTATACACAGCCTCGTATAGAGCTTCGCAGCTCATGTAAACTGTTTACTGCCACCGTTGGTGTTGGTAGTTTGCTTCCTAGTTTACTGTGAGCGGCAGAGTGACGTGTGCCACAGCACAACCCAGTAGCCATGTCATTTATATACAGCAAGAACCAAACTGGTGCAAGGCTGTCCCTTGGGGTCAGTCTTGTAACGTCTTGTAACGTCTTGTAACGTCTTGTAATGTCTTGTAATGTCTTGTAATGTCTTGTAATGTCTTGTAACGTCTTGTAATGTCTTGTAACGTCTTGTAACTCTTGTAACGTCTTGTAACGTCTTGTAACGTCTACCCAAACGGTGAGATTTAGAGTGACAAGTACACGTTGTGTCTGGAGAGCCAGTTGTTCATCAACCTACTTAATGTACCAGAGTCTTTGGTTGAGAGGCTTAAATGAAATACTTCTCTCGGTCCCCTTTTAAGGGGGTCCTCTTCCCGGTCTTCTTTTAGGGGGTTGACCCGTTCTCGCAAATTCGTAAAGTCAATATTGACTTATTAACTACGTGCATAGGTGATATACTAAACATAATAGATACCCTTAAAAAGATTCATAGAAAACACCGACCTTACCTAACCTTGTTAGTATCTTAAGATAAGCATCTTATTGCTTCGTAATTACAATTATTACTTAACCTATACCTATTATAGGTTAGGTAATAATTGTAATTACGAAGCTATAAGATGCTTATCTTAAGATACTAACAAGGTTAGGTAAGGTCGGTGTTTTCTATGAATCTTTTTAAGGGTATCTATTATGTAAGTATGTCACCTATGCACATATTTAATAAGTCAATATTGACTTATTAAATTTGCGAGAACGGGTTGTCCTCTTCCCGGTCCTCTTTTACGGGGGTCCTCTTCTCGGTCCTCGGTTCCTCTTTCATCCTCTTTGACTCGCTCTTTTAATAGTCCTGCCAGATCCTAAAGACTCAATGGGCCACTTAGAGAATATATTAGTATATGAATGAGAACTGGTGTTGACTCTATATTTCGCTGATGTGGTCCCAGCGCTCAAAAGAGCGCCGGACTCCTGCTCTATGCTCCTAGGGCTCAAAAGAGCGCGGGACTCCTGCTCTCAACCACACGCCAATAAACCTGACCGTCGATCGTGGTAAAATTACTGAAAAAACAATAACTTCTGAATCTATAAGAAACGCTCTAGAAAATAAGAGGTTGATGAGAGGGTGCCAACCACAAGAGGCACTCCACTCTCACCTGATCCATCTCCAGGCACTGGTCGACTGTAGCAAAGATGACGGTGTTTATGTCAACCTCCTCGAGGCCTTCCACACACTTAGGGAGACGAAAGTGCATGACATGCCAGTCTCCGTGGTTTAGTAGTAAGACACTCGCCTGGCGTTCCGCGAGCGCTATGTCATGGGTTCGTATCCTGGCTGGGGAGGATTACTGGGCGCAATTCCTTAACTGTAGCCTCTGTTTAACGCAACAGTAAAATGTGTACTTGGATGAAAAAACGATTCTTCGCGGCGGGGATCGTATTCCAGGGACCTGCCCGAAACGCTACGCGTACTAGTGGCTGTACAAGAATGTGACAACTCTTGTATATATCTCAAAAAAAAAAAAACATGCAGATGAAACATACTAAACAGGATCAGGGAATGCCTAAAAGACAGGAAACTGATAG